AAGACCATCAGGCCTTGGCAATTTCTTCAACTTGTATCTCATCCCCACTCTCAGGCCTATGGCTTCCCTGAAAGCTGACCGCTCTACAGCTTTTGGGGGTGAGGCTCCAGCCTGAGGCCTAGAGAGCAGGTAATTAGAGCTGAGATTCTTCCATTGCCATTCTTGGGCTGGGACTGCATTCAGCAGGTGGTCGCAAGAATACAGGTGGATGCACTGGGTTTCTGAGGCCTGTCGCCTTGACCTCAGTGGCTAGATTAGGGCAGGATCTAGCCAGGACTCTTATCTTGTGGGCGGGAGAAGGCATTTCTACTGGGACTGTGTGGGAAATAAGTGAAGTGTGAAATTGGAGTGAAAAAGGAATCCAAAGGATTAAAAAGTCCATCTTTCCTGATGGCTTTTCATTCTAGTAGGAATAAGGTAATGAGAAGTGGCTGGGGTCGGGGGTCACGTTGCTGGGGTTTCCAGCTAAGATGACTTGTCAGAACCTAGGTAGGATGTAAAGTTAAATGGGATGGAAGGAAGATTCCTTGAAACCACATTAGGGGGTGGGGGTGAGGGGCGTGGAAAGTGAAAAGACCCCTGATGGTGTCTGCTTTTATTTTTCTCTCCTAGCTTCCATGCTTGCCCAGAACCATGCACCTGGCTAGCCACTGAGTGGTGGACTGTGGAGGCCTCCACCTGCTCAGTCTCCCTCCCAGACATCCTGACAGTCTGGCTTTTGGAATTGAACCACAGTAATCCTGCCACCTGCCGGGTGGCTCCTTCTAGGGCCTGTGGAGACTGCGAGTGCTGCTGCTTTCTCACAGTGTCCTAGGCCAGTGTTTCCCAAAGTGTGGTACGCGTACCCCCAGGGGTACGAGAAGAGTTTGGTGGGGGTACGCGTTGCACCGGAGTTTGGTGGGGATATGCACTGCACCGTGCTTAGCTGTGCCTAATTCTACGTTCTCATGAGTACGAGGGGTACTCAGCGTTGTGAAAATTGTAGAAGGGGTACACATATGTCAAAAATTTGGGAAACACTGTCCTATGGGATCTGGCTGGTAGAGCACTGGGTGGCCTGGGTTTTTCTGGAGCAGCTGGATGTCCGCTACAACCAGCTGGTGCACCTGTCCATGGACTTCTCAGCCACCCTGGGCTCTGCTCCGCCTACACCTCTCACAACCTGCTCGCCAGCACAAACCCCTGCTGCCTGTGAGGCCTGGGAAACCTGGAACAGCTTGACCTCAGCCACAGCCTGGCCACAGTTTGGGGGCCACTTCTGCCTACACTGGAACCAGCTACAGCAAGTTGGGGGTGCAGCCCTGGCCACCATGCCAGGCCTGGAAGTCCTCTGGCTGGGAATGACATCAGCAAGCTACGCAGAGGCTGAAGCCTTTGCAACTCTGTGGATGCTGGGCCTCCTCTCTCTAGTAGGCAACGGCACCTCGAATTTAAGGTGATGGCGGGCATCCCAACAGCATGCACACAGCTGCTGCTGGCCAATAATCTCTGCAGCAGGCCTTCCGGAAGCTGCACCATCTGTGGCACTTGTATGTGGCCAACCTGGGCAATCTGACTTGTGCTGGACTTGGGAGGCTGGTAAGAGGCATAGCTGAGCAGTGTGGAGGCCTGGCTTTGCTTGTCTGAGACAGCTACTGTTCTGGGTATCATGGGCACCATGCTAGTCACCATGGTGCTGTGGTCATGGCCGAGGGCAAGTGCAGAAGAACGGGGAAGCCCTCTGGAGAGGTAGGGTGTGCTGTAGAGAGAAGCTGAAACAGTTGGATTGGGGAGGGAATGGACAGAGGAAAAGGAATGTTCCTCGGAAGTCTTATGGGCTGTTTTCTGTCCAGGCAGGGGTGGAAGGAGGAGGGACAAATGGCTATGTTCATCTCAGGTCTCAGAACCCCACTGCTCACTTACCACTTGTGACCTAGCACAATGCCAGCACCTTTCCTAGCCCTATAAAGAGGGATTTGGCTCCTAGTCCTCAGAGAAAGCAATAAAAGATAGAGACTGAACACCAGAGGGCATTGGGGTGGGATGGGATGGATACCAAGGGAAAAACTTCATTAATCCTATTCTTCATACACGTCCCTGCCGTCTGTTTTGAGGGACTTAATCAGAAGGTGTGGTCTGGGCTGGGACCGGTTTGGCTCAATGGATATAGCGTCGGCTTGAGGACTGAAAGGTCCCAGGTTCGATTCCAGTCAAGGGCATGTACCTTGGTTGCAGGCATATCCCCAGTTGGGGGTGTGCAAGAGGCAGCTGATCGATGTCTCTCTCTCATCGATGTTTCTAACTCTCTATCTCTCTTCCTTCCTCTCTGTACAAAATCAATAAAATAAAAAATAAAAATAAAAGAATCATTGATCAGCTAAAAAAAAAAAAAAAAAAGGTGTGGTCTGGGGTAGGGGATTGTTCCAGGTGCAGGCTCCTAAAACTATTTTATGGACATGTATGATCCCATTTCCAGTCCTCAATACCTTAGCTCCTTCCCAAGGTTGTGTGGCTTGACCCATTTGAATCAGGGATGGGTGAGGAGATTAGGAAAATAAAGTCAATTGGAAAGTTTATACTATTATTATGTGATTGTGTTATGGTGATGAAAACTTACCTCATGTAGTTGTCACAGGTGGGCAGGGAAGGTAGGCAAAATGACTTTTTTTGTTGTTAATTCTCACCTGAGGATATTTTTTCCATTGATTTTTAGACAGAGTGGAAGCAGGGTGGAGGAGACAGACACCCACTGGTTGCCTCCTGCTCTTGCCCCAACTAAAGTTTGCAACTGAAGTACATGTCCTTGACCAGAATCTAACCTGCTACCACTCTAACCATTGAGCAAAAACAGCTAGAGCCAAAATGACCTTTAATCCAAGCTTTTTCTCATTCCTCTTACCTGGAGACCCTTCCTTCCCACCCTCTGCCCTACCATACACCTACATGATTCCATTCTCTAGGATTTTTTGTTTTGTTTTTTAAATATATTTTATTGATTTTTCACAGAGAAGAAGGAAGAGAGATAGAGAGTTAGAAACATCGATGAGAGAGAAACATCGACCAGCTGCCTCTTGCACACCCCCTACCAGGGATGTGCCCGCAACCAATGTACATGCCCTTGACCAGAATCGAACCTGGGACCTTTCAGTCCGAAGTCAGATGCTTTACCACTGAGCCAAACTGGGTTCGGCAGTTTTTTTGCTTTTTGCATGGATATATCCTTCTCTCCCATTCTTTCTAACATACCCGGACTTTACCCTAGTGACTTTGTAAAAAGTTAAATATGAAAAAGTATTTTGTAGTCTAGCTTTTATTGGCTGATCAGAAGAATTTATTTATTTATTTATTTATTTATTTATTTATTTATTTATTTATAATATATTTTATTGTTTTTTTACAGAGAGGAAGAGGAAGGGATAGAAAGTTAGAAACATCTATGAGAGAGAGTCATCGATCAGCTGCCTCTTGCATACCCCCTACTGGGGATGTGCCCGCAGCCAAGACACAAGCCCCTGACCAGAATCGAACCTGGGACCTTTCAGTCCACAGGCCGACGCTCTATCCACTGAGCCAAACCGGTTTCAGCAGAAGTTTTTATTTTTTTAATAGAATTTTATTGATTTCAGAGAGGGAGAGGGAGAGAGAGAATAATTGATCGGCCACCTCCTGCACGCCCTGCACTGGGAACTGAGCCCACAACTCCAGCATGTGCCCTGATCAGAATCGAACTGTGACCTCCTGGTTCATAGGTCAACCCTCAACCATTGAGCCATGCCTGCTGGGTTGATGGGAAATTTTTAATTCACATGGTCAGAATGCTGTTTGGACATGAGTCCCCCTTTCCCCCAAGGGAACTAGAAACAGACCTGAATTAAATGGCCTAGTGGGAGTGCTTATGGAATCTTAACTTCAGTATTGGAAGATAAATTTGTATTGTAGAATGGTGGGGTGGATGCAGGGAGATATGTGGGCAGGGGGTTGGGGGCAGCTTTGTGGTGGCAATCCCAGGAAGCTCAGAACTTTTGCCTATTTATTCAACAAATAATTACTAAGTACCTACGATGAATAAGATAGTGGCAACATCTTTTGTTCACTTTATTCAGCACATATGTCCTGAATGCATCTTGTATACTAGGGCCTGAGAATATAGTAGTAAACAGAAACCAGACACTGTCCTTGACCTGGGGCTCACAAACTAGTATTAATCTAATCTTTAACAGAAGAATTACACATATATAATAGCCTGTGTGCCAAGTGATTCAAAGGAAGGGTACCTGATGGTTATGAAAATAAAAAAGGAAGCTGAGAACAAATGAGACCAAAGGAGAAGTAGGGGAGAGCAGTTGGAAACTTGCTGCAGTCAAACCTATAAAAGATGATAGTTTGGGCTAGATTGGGAGTATGGCAACTGAAGATAATGGGCTGATTTGAGATGTCCCATATATACATCTCCGATCTCTCTCGTAGGGGACATAGGAAAGGCAGAGCAAGACCATACTTCTCGACAGGTGACGTAGGAGAACCCATTACTTTGAATGTAAACCAAAGCAGAGGATTTCCTCAGGCTTGAGTATGTACACCATTTACTGAACCCCTGTTTTGTGCTAGCACCAGCATTGCCACATTAAACCTCACAGCCACCCTAACGTAGAAGTCATTTCTATTTCACAGATGAATCTTGGGAAGTATAGCCAATATGCCCAAAGTAACAAGGTTGGAGTTAGGCTCTAGTTGCACTCAAAGACTAGTTTGCTTCATTAAGTTATGACTCGAGGCTTCCCTCTGTTCCTTCCTTTAGTCTAGTTTTCAATTTTGCATCTACAGAGCGGGGGCCGTAAGTCTCCGTGGGCAGAGGGAAAGGCTGAATTCTGTTCCTTCGGTCCGGAACCACAGGACGCGAGCCTTGTTTCCCAACGGAAGAGGGAAAAACAAACCCCGCGGGACCGGAAGTGGCGTGTCACACCTCCGCGCGCGGCCCTCCCAGACCCGGCCGAGGCCGTGGCGGACTGCCCTTCCCCAAGATGGCGTCGAAGGTGGGTTCGCGACGGTGGCTACTGCAGCTGCTCATGCAGTTGGGCGCGGTGTTGCTCACACGCTGCCCTTTCTGGGGCTGCTTCAGCCAGCTCATGCTGTACGCCGAGAGGGCCGAGGCGCGCCGGTGAGCGGGCCCCGCGGGGGAGGCGGCGCAGCGCATCCCAGCAATGGGGGTGCGGAGAGGTGGGGGAAAGTTGGGCCCTTGGGCTGGGAGGAGCTGGCATCTCAGACTTGTTAGGGGCTCCGGTCCCGAGCACGGTGGACATCGAGCATAGTGCGGGGGTCACGGCCATGAGAGGGGTCTCCGGTTTGGAGGGTCAGTGGGGCTGTGCGGGAAGCCACGGGGGCTCAAGGCTCCTCTCCCCTCTTCATTCTGATCTCTTTGCTTACCCCCTCCCGGCTTGCAGGAAGCCCGACATACCGGTGCCCTACCTGTACTTCGACATGGGGGCGGCCGTGCTGTGCGCCAGCTTCATGTCCTTCGGAGTGAAGCGGCGCTGGTTTGCGCTGGGGGCCGCCCTCCAGCTGGCCATTAGCACCTATGCCGCCTACATCGGGGGCTACGTCCACTACGGGGACTGGCTGAAGGTGAGCAACCGGGCCCCGAGGAGGACTAGGCTAGGGCGATGGGGAGCTTTGGGCGTGTGGAGATGTTACAGACTGCAGGAACGGAAGGACCTCAGAGACCACACACATCTTCCTTTCAGGGTGTGGAGACTGATGGGAAACAGACTCACCCTAAGTCATACCACAGTTAGCGTCACAGGTGGAGGAGCAAGGATCTAGGTCACCTGGTTTCCAGAACCTTTAAAACTGTTAGTTTAGTAATCTCAGACTCTTAGGGCTAAAGGAACCTTGCAGGTGTCTGGCCCAAAGATTTAATTTTGTGAAATTTACGTAATCCTAGTCCTGGAATAAGCCTGTAAATGACACCCCTGCCAGGCATTGTGAGCTTGGAGATAGGCCTGGACAAAGGCACTACCCTTTAGGAATGCTGTCTGTCCAGTAGGGGAAGTAGATGTGTGAACAGCTACAGGAGAGGGAGATAAAAGGGTTTTTATGGGACAGACTATCCTAGATAGCAGAAAGAACATTGGGCTGCAGGCCTGGGGATGGGAAGGAGACACTTGGTAACTGGGTTCTGCCACTTTCTGTAGGATCTTGAACAGTTTAATTAACCCCTTTGGGCCACTTCTGATAAAAAGAATTCTCTATTTCTGCTGAACCTGCCCACCACACTTGGAAATGGTAAGAGGGTTCCTCAAATGGAAGGGGATGTAGAGAGAGGAAGTTCTGTGCAGTCAGGAAATACGTGGCGATTGCAGTTCCTGACTGGGGTCCCCTTGCCTTGGCCTAGGTCCGCATGTACTCACGCACGGTGGCCGTCATCGGTGGATTTCTGGTGCTGGCTAGCGGTGCCGGGGAGCTCTACCGCCGGAAACCCCGAAGCCGGTCCCTCCAGTCCACGGGCCAGGTCTTCCTGGGCATCTACCTCATCTGCGTGGTAGGTTGGGGGGGCTGTTGGCTGGAGGTGCTTGACTGGGAGTGAAATGGGAGCCCGTGCTTGACAGAACTCGGGGAGGTGGGCGTGTAGATCCCGATGGCTATGCTCTGGGAATTGCCCCTGCCGGGTTCTGGGCCTCAGGGGCCAAGAGCCTGAGACCTGGCCAATATTCTTTCAGCATGATTGCCACCAGGGGGAGAAAAGGTTGAATTGGCCATTTACTCCCGAGCCTGAGAGGCAGGAGAACAAGATGGATTGTTCCTCTCGTGGCTCCAGCTCCTGGAGGACTGGGAGAGGAGACCAAGGAGAGCTTGGTGGGTTCAGGCAGCAGCTGGGACTCTGTCACTTAGAACTGATGGGGATGGAAAAAACAAAACAAAAATCCTGGGCCAGTTGGCTCGGTTGGAGTGCTGTCCTGTACACCAAAAAGGTGCGGGTTCAATTCCCAGTCAGAGCACTAACTTAGGTTGTGGGTTTGATCAAGGCACATACGGGAGGCAACCGATGGATGTTTTTCTCTCAGATCAGTGTTTCTCTCCCACCTTCCTCTCCCTCTTAAATCAGTAAATATATCCTCAGGTGAGGCTTTAAAAAAAAAAAAAGAAAAAAAAAAGAACTGATGGGGATGCCTAGTTAGCTAATTGTGGTCGTCCCTAGAACCCTTAGTTACTGGGCACCATATTCCACGTGCAGAGCTCCAGATTCAGCGGTGAGAGCCCCCCTCTATCCTCTGAGCTCCCGGAGAGAGAAAAGACTTAGACCTTAATTTCATGTGGCTCTCTAGGCTGAGGGGGGATGTATGTAGGTCCTACTTTCAGAGAGCCCCGGTCTGAGAGGCAGAAGCCCACCTTGCAGAGGCTGAATTACAGGCGCCATCTCAGGTGGGCTTTCCCCAGGCTCCTCAGCTCGTTGGGCAGTCTTAAGAGATGGTTTGTCTCTAGGCCTACTCATTGCAGCACAGCAAGGAGGACCGGCTGGCCTATCTGAACCATCTACCAGGAGGGGAGCTCATGGTCCAGCTCTTCTTTCTACTGTACGGCATCCTGGCCCTCGCCTTCCTGTCTGGCTACTACGTGACGCTGGCTGCCCAGATCCTGGCCGTGCTGCTGCCCCCGGTCATGCTGCTCATAGACGGCAATGTTGCCTACTGGCACCACACACGGCGCGTGGAGTTCTGGAACCAGATGAAGCTCCTTGGAGAGAGTGTGGGCATCTTCGGGGCCGCCGTCATCCTAGCCACCGACGGCTGAGTTGCCCTGGGAGGAGCTGAAAGGGGTGCAGGGAGCCACTGAGTGCCACCCTGCCTTTCCTGCTGGCCCAGTTACGTTTATTTATGCTTTTTGGTCTGTTTGTTGGATCCTTTGCGCTGTGTTGTGTGTGTTTGTTGGTAAGAGACAGGTCTGTTCCCCAGTTCTGGGCTCAGCCCTTCACGGGGAAGCCCTGAGGATGATGCCTTACAGGGATTTTTCCCCCTGTTGGTCAGGAGGAGAGCTGAGGCCGGCTGCTCCCCTGGGTCCCATGTCCCAGAGAAGAGAGGAAGGCGGCTTAGGGTAGGGGTACTGAGAGTGGGAGACAGAGGAAGGAAGACCTAAGAACTGGAAGTGAGCAAAAGTGAAAAATTGCTTTTGAACTGGCAGACGCAGCTAGGCTCTGCAGTGGTTTTGGAGACTGAGAATGAGTGTGCGTGCTGATCGGCGAGTCAGGCCCTGGAGGAGCAGACGGGCTGATCTCCACAGAAGCCACAGGGTTTTCAGGATATGCCAGGGGCAGAAATAACACTAGTTGTCTACCTTGAGAGCAGAGCAGGCCACAGTCCGCTCAAGTGGGAAGGGGTGGGGCAGGCAGCGGCCAGCTTTCCCCTTCCTGCCTTCCGTTTCCAGCTCTGGATAGCCTGGTGTGGGTGAGTGCCCTCCCAAACACCAGACCACACAGTCCTCCAAAAATAAACATTTTATGTAGACATTTGGCTTTGCTTCTCTGTTCTCCCCATGGGGCACTTTGCCATTGGCTGGGATTGATCTGGGGTTTCTTGAAAGAAAATATCTGGTTAAGCTCCATCCAGGCCCTCCTGTAATCTTTCCCCTATTCCACGTTCCCACAGTCCTTGGCCCTCTTTTCAAGGATCTCCTAATCCTCCCTGTAGAATATTCTTTTGACCTCTCACCTCATTCCATCTTAGAGCTTATTTTTCCTCCCCATTTGATGCCAGCTGTTTTTGAATAAATCCTTGGTGAGAGCAACCTTGAGGGAGAGAACTAACATTTAGAGTCCACTATGAGGCCAAGGGGTTTACATGTTACAGATAAGAAAATGGAGACTCAGAAAAGGTAAGCAGCTTGGCAGCCACAGAGCTGGATTGCAGGTCAGGCTGTATACTGAACATCACCCTCTGAGGGGAGACAGGCTGCTCTTGGGGTTTAGTTCTCACTGTCCCTGCTGTGCTATGGTGGCCTCTTAATGGACCCTCTTCCTACTCATCCATGCACCTCCTGGCAGGAGGTAGTCCCAGCAACCAGTGTGGTACCTGGAACATCATGGGGTCAAAATATTCAATGAAACCTCCAGCTTTGGGCTACTGTCTGTCTGCTCCCACAAAGATGGGGACACAACCTCTAGGGGGCTGGGGGGGAGGTGAGGGGCAGAGGCTGGCGGGGGTGGGGGTGGGGGAGAGGAGGATTCTGTGCCCTGCCTGAAAGGGAGCTGGCGGCCTGGCCTGTGGAATGGAGGGTGTTTCCGGACTTAGGAGTAGGGGAACCCCTCTGGGGGCTGCCTTGAGGGACATGGTGGGTGCCCTCCATTGCCTTTAGCCCCTCTGTCTCTCTAGAAGCCCCCTGGCTCCCCAGCCCACAAGATCTTGCTCTCAAGAGAGCCACTGCTCCTTTCAAGTGTGAGCTGACTCAGACAAGTATTTTCATTTTAATCAAGGCCTCCTGAAAAGTTGCAACACCCAAAGGAATGAAAACGAGCGGTGAAGATCAGGCAGATAGGGCTGTGTTTTGGACAAGGGAGCCTCAAAACACAGCACAGAATTCACAGAAACTGACCTACTCTAAGTTTAGCCCTGAGTAGAGCCTGGGGAGGCAAGCCCTCCCCTCCCCCCAGATCCCTAGACTGAACATGGAACCACCTGGTGGTGGCTTTGGAGCACGTGGAGGTCCTGGGTGGACTCTGTTGTGCTTGTCCCACTTCGCCTCCCACCTCAGGCAGAGCAGAGCAGAGCAGGGGCTGCTTCCTCCTCCAGATCATTCCGCCAACAAACCTGGTCCAGCCGGTAGCCGCCTGGAGTCACCTCCAGCAGACATGGCTTTTGGTCCACCCTGGCCGCCCCAGGGCCTGCAGGGCTGGTGGTGAGGGTCAGCTGCCTGGGTCGGACGCTGGCTTGCTAAAGGAGTCCGGCAGCCCCTTGGCGTGGTTGACCAGCTCATAGGAGTCTCGGATATCGGCCAGGCCAAACCAGAAGAAGATCCACTGCTTGTTGGAAAAGCTGCCGTCGCTGTGCTTGAAGTACCTGGTGGTGGTGAGAGCTGTTAGTGCATGGTCAGTGCTCATTTCTCACTGGTTCATTTATTGGGGACCTCCTGCATACTGGATCCTGCTAGCACTTGCTGTCTGTTGCCTGATTTCATCCTCACAGCAGCTAAGAGCCTGGCGGGGACATGCTTTCACAGAGAAGCAGCCGAGGCTCGGAGAGGTGAGGTAGCTTGCCAGTCCCACAGCTGGGGGGAGGACATCCCGTGCTCCCTCCCCCTGCCTTGCCTTGCAGCCAGGGAAGAGGCTCTTGTTCACCACTTGGTGCCCCCAGAGCAGAGTAATGGGGGATGAGGGGTAGTTGCTGAAGGAAAGAGAGGGGTGGGGGTTCTGCTGGGCCTGAGGTCCGAGTGGGCAATTGGGCCTGGAGTAGAGCCTGGAGGATCAGAATTTCTTAGGACCCTGGGAGAGATGGGGTGGGGGAGGGCTGTCACGTGCTTCCAGGAACCACTGTTGCAGGGCGGGGTGGGAGGGGGTTGTTCTGTGCAGTCTGCCTGTGAGGAAAGCTCAGGCTGCCTGTGTGGTCCTGGGAAATGGGCTGCAGTGGGCGGGCCTTTCCCGGGGAAGGACAGCTAGTGAGAGAAGGGGACACCTAGCCTTCCTGGCTGGTGGACCGAGGTGTGGCCGGCGAGGGCTGGTGAGAGAGGGGGGCAGAACCTACCAGGGGTTGATGGGGTTAGTCACTCTGGAGCGCCAGAAAAGCGTCTGCAGGTCCCGCCGCAGACACTCCCACAGCATCTGGCCGGAGCCTTGGCCCTGGCGGCTGGAGTTCACCACGAACTTGTCCAGGTACGGGGTGCCCCCCAGGACAGGCTCCGTGGTCAGAATGGCGGCAGCGTTGTACCTGGCGCGGCGGGGAAAGTCAGGCTGGGCCTTCTCCTGGGTCCGGAGGGCTGGGCTCTGCCCCTTGGCCTCTGCCCTCCGGGGCCCCCAGGCTCACCCCTCGGAGACGTAGACAGAGTGCAGCCGCGGGCGCAGCGAGGCCAGGTAGTCCTCGCGGAGCTTCTTGCCGAAGCTGGTGTTGACCAGGTCCACCAGGCGGCCCTGGTCCAGGCTGTCCAGGCTGCGCACCCGCAGCATCCGCTCCGCATTCTTGAAGAGAGTGCCGGACCCTGGGGTGGGGCGAGGAGGAGGGGTCAGTTCAGCCTGAGAGCGAAGTCTCCTCCACGCCTCCTTTTGGCAGCCTGGGGGGCTCCAGACAGGACGGGGATGATGGAACCATCACCTCCTTTGGGAGTCTCCCCAGGGAAAGGCTGTCAGGGTCTGCACGGGTGTGGAGGTGATGTTCACTCAGGGAAATGCATTTCCCAGGCAGGTTGTCCCTGAAGTCCAGCCCACCGCCTGCAGTCCCACCTTCTTCACCTAGTCCCGCCCCCTCTCCTAGGTCGGTCCATTTCATTGGTGTTTCCCACCAGACCCCGCCCTCTGCAGTGTGGCCACACAGCCCAAGCCACGCCCATCTCTGTCCATTCAACTTCCAGCTCAGGCTCCTGCACCCGGCTGACCTCCACCACGTTCCTGACCTCCACCAGGTTCCGCAAGAGCTGAGAGCCAGTGCTGTGGAGTCCCCGCGGGGCCTGCTTCCTGGCGGAGGCCCCCTCCCCTGCTTCCCCCACCCCAGGGCCCAGCACCCACGCCCTGGACCCCGCCCTCTCCTGCCCCGCCCCGCCCCGGGCCGCCCCTTCACCCTTGTTGCTGAAGAGCTCGGTGAGCAGCGTGCTGGCGGCGGTGATGGCGGCCGAGCAGTGGTGGGGCAGGCGGCTGAGCACTTCCACGATGAGCCGGATCTGCTGCCGCTCCTTGGAGCTCACCCACTCCGCGTTGGTCACCAGGTCCAGATCGGCGGGCAGGTTCACGTTACTCAGGACCTGCGTCGGGGCTGGGAATTGAGCCTTCGACCCGCAGCCCGGCCGCGGGCCATCCTGCCCCAGAGACCTCCTCTTGCTCCCTGGACCTCCCCACCTCCCGGAGGCCTGGGCCAGCGAGGCTCCCGTCTGGACGCCGGCGGGCTAAGCCCCTCTCTGACCCTCCAGTCCCAGCTCCCTCGGCGGAGGAGGCTCAGCTAGGCCAGCAGCGGGGTGTGTGTGTGTGTGGGGGGGACGCTGAGAGGAGGGCCGCACCTTGTGGCTGCTGTCGCGCAGGCCGCCCGTGGTGTTGAGGAAGATGATCTTGGTGGGCTGCAGCGCCTTGGCCAGCGCGGCCGTCACCTCCAGCGAGTCCAGGAGCACGGAGCGGCGCGCCGCCGTCTCCCCGATGGGGCACAGGATGGGGATGCTGCCCGACTCCAGGCACCACTGCAGCAGGTCGGTCTCCACCGAGATGGTGCCCCCGTAGCTGCGGGCCAGACGTGGTGTTCAAGAGCGCCCCCTCCGGGCCCGCCGGGCTGGGTCATGTGATCTGAGTCCCGGGGGGGGGGGGGGGGGCAGGCGGGGCCGGCACTGACCTAGCGTGCGGGGCGGGCTCCGCGGCGCTCAGCACGGAGCCGCCGCCGAAGAAGGGCACGGCCGCCGCGGCGTTGCGCCGGAGCGCGTCCACCAGCAGCTTGCAGCTCTGCGCCAGCTGCGCCTTGGCCTCCCAGAAGGACAGGCAGCCAGAGGGCGCTGTGGGCGCGGGCAGCCCCAGCACCACCAGCGGCTTCATGTCCATGCGCTGCAGGAAGGCCAGCGCGAAGGCCAGGCTGGACACGCCCTGCGGGCACCGGAGCACCTCCTCGTCCACCTGC